CTTCTTCCTCTTCTTTCCTTTCCTTACTATATTCTTCTCTCTCTCTCTCTCTCTCTCTCTCTCTCTCTCTCTCTATTCAACGTTCGTCTCGCCGCAGAAATTTAAATTAGAAATCTCTGTGAATTATCCTCGAATTTCGTCCGATTTTACACAATCGTGTAAATTCACCTCAAGTCAAGGAACGAAGATAATATTCTCTTAATATCGCAATAAAATAATCATTGTGTTAAAATATTTGTAAACGAGCATGTAGGCTACATTTAAAAACACGTTGTAATCAAATTAAACATAAATTCTGCTCTCGTTTATCTCGACAAAACAAGCTTATAACCGATAATAATAAAACTCATTGTAAAAGTCAATTGACACGACACACAAGTTAAATATCTTATTGTTGCTGTATAAGAAGCGTTTGTATCATAACACTTCCTATATTAAATTTCGTATCATTTGCACGGTACAATCATTCGAGGCAACGTCTTCTAACCTTTCTCTCGACTATTTCCCGTTAAAACAATTTACTTGAACAACCTCTTCCTTTTTCAAAACAAACAAACAAAAAAAAAAAAGGCAAAAAATAATTCCAACAATCTCCATCTTCTATTATTCCCTATGTAAGAAAAGTTAGAAAGCATTGCTCTAAAACTCAACAGCACCTCATCGATCCTTTTCCCCTCCCCAATTTCTGCTCTACTCACCTCCTGCGGGTAAAACGGTGCCTGGAGCGAAACGCAGATCGCGTTCGCGAAATCGGCGATGCTGATGACGATCAGCGTGAGCCATTGCCTCTTGGTGAATTGGGCCATCATCTTGTTAACGGCTTCTTCCAATCCTCTCCTCTTCCTTCCCGAAACCGAGCCACCAAGATCCTGTTAAACTATCCTATCGTTTGTTGGCCACCATCGGGGCCAACCTGGTCTCAGCACCGATCTCGCCACCCACTAATCCGTGATAAATCGTGTGCCTTGTCACACAGCGCGTGTTCAACAGCGACACAGCCAAAGCGGTTCGGCGTGCTCTCGAAACGGTTGTGCGACAACGAGGCGAGGAACCGGCTACTTTTCAACAAGGAATCGTTGCTACAGGAGGGAGGAGAGGACGTGACACGGCGGGGTCATAGGTCGAACGATACGACCTACCGCGATTCTATAATTCCCATTATCGGCCGACATGTTGCGCGACTTTCTACGACTTTTCGTTCCTTCCTTGCGAGCGTCGTGTGGCCGAGGATCTATGCCTGATGGGTGTGAAAATTTTCAGGGAAACTTTGAGTTTCGATCCTTGTTCGATTCTTGGCTGTGACGATTCGTGGATGAGATACGTGATGGATGGATCGAGAGGAATTTTCATGGAATTTTGATTTCTCCATTTCGACAAGGAAGTGGTTTGCTCGATTTTTGGTTATAAGAATCGTGGATGAGATATGTGATGGATGGATCGAATGAGGTTTTGGTTTTTGCTTTGCAGAAGAAGTGGTTTGTTCGATTTTTGGTTATAAAGAATCCTGAATCAGATACGCGATGGATGGATCGAGCGAAATTTCATGGAATTTTGATTTCTCGTTTTGAGAAGGAAGTGGTTCGTTCGATTTTTGGTTATGAAGAATCGTCGATGAGATATGAAGTTTTGATTTTTTGCTTTGCAGAAGAAGTGATTTGTTCGATTTTTGGTTATGAAGAATCGTGGATGAGATATGCGTTGTTGGATCGAATGAAGTTTTGATTTTTTGCTTCGGAGAAGAAATGATTTGTTTGATTCTTGCTTGTGAAAATTCGCGAACGAGGGATTTTGATTTTTGACACAATGTTGAAAGATGATATTAAACAACGAGGAATTATATATTTTTAATTATTTATATACAAGTGGTGAGAAATTTTATTTTATTTTTATTGTGCTATGATTTTTTTTTTATTAATTTATGGAAAATATACGATCGGTGATTTTAGGGAATTTTAGGGAATTTTATACTGATTACTCGAAAGTTGCAAAGTTTCCAAGAATTTTTTTTCTCATTAATTTATGGAATATTTAAAATGGAAAAATTTGTTCTTCGTCCGATCTGCAGTCAGGGAATTTCTATTAATAAAACGAACGATTAAAACATGTACGAAACTGTATCCTGGCATTTTTATTTTATTCTCAATTGAATTCTAGATTTAAAATTTTATTATTACACGATGTATATTTAAGGCATGATATTTTCTACAATAGATCTACAATACTTCATATCATAATGAAAACACAAAATATAAATGTTTTCAATATGATGACTAATACCGTGTATCGTCGTTACGTACCTTTGTAAACAAGAAACTATCGCAATCCTGACAGCCAATGTTACACAGAAAATCGTATTATCTCGAATTTTCACATGTTATTCGAAAAGATTTTTAGACGTGACAAAATTATTTACTTACTTAAGTACGTAGATAGAATTATATTTTTATTTTTCCTTTCTCGTTCCTGTTGTTTAATCTGACATTTCGACAAGGAGAAATATCATCTTTCAAAATAAAAATTCACGATTTGTCTTAAAATTCGATGTATAATATTTGAACAACAACAATAATCATTTTGTCGAGATAAATGTAAGAGGAAAATGCAAAAATTGTCAGAAGAAGATAAAATTAAATTGCATCGTATTAGAATTATACGTGTAATCTCGTTGCAAGAAATAAATTTGCAAAATTGGACGATACATTTTTAGGTCAGCGATTGATGCATCTTTAATGCACGGTGTATGTGCCATACATCAACGATAATGCAAATGTCAAACGAAAGATCATTGCACTGCAATTGAAATTAACGATAACGTAGCTACAACGATACTAGACATTTGTTTTGTTATTGAAATGCAACAGAAAATGGTACAATGTAGAGGCGTATCTGAAAATTATAAAGATCACGAATAGAATAAAATTAGAAAAAAAAAAAGAATATAGAAAAATTGAAGGATAGAAATCATCATCCTAAGGAGAAACAAAACTTTCACTTTTAAAAGAAAATAAAAAAAAAAAAAAGGAAGAAAAAATTATCTCTCAACCAAAGTTCAAATAAGCAAAAACAACTTCACTCAAACACCACCTCGACTCGTAATAATCCTTAAACGATAAATTTCCCCGAATTAATCATTCTTCTTCTTCAACCACATTGTGCACAATTTCAAAACAGCCTGTCCATCAAAGTTCCTCCACGAATCCTTCTCCATCTCACCTTTGACTCTCATCGATTCCACGTTCGATTCCACATTCACGTCCACGTGTAAAATCGTTTCAGAAAAATGAAATAAAAAAAAAAAAGAAAAGAAAAAGAAAAAGAGGACGGTTCTTGAAAGAAACTACGTGTCGCGAAGCCAAACTTTCAACGGAACCTTGTTCAAAGCCTTGCCAAGGAAATTCTTAAAGTGTTTCGCGATACTGGCGCTCGCCGCCGGTCTCATCTCCTCGATGATCTCCTTCGCGTTCTGGTTGAGGAACTGGTTCATCGCTTGGCCGATCACGTTGTCCCCGTTCAATTGATCGACCACACGGAAACGGGCACGGCCAAGACCGAAATCGACCAGCATCCGCGCCACTTTCAAGTAACGAACCCCGTCGCGGATCTCCTCCGCACCCTGGATACGGCCGATCGCCTGGACATCACCTGCAATCCCACCATTTTCTCTTTCTTTTTTTTCCTCCTCCAATTTTTATCGAGTTTCTAGTTTTTGTCGATTTGATTTTGATTCGGAGCGAGCATCAAAATTTCTATGTCGAAGGAGATTTCGATTGGTCAAGTTTTATTCTTTGCTTTTTTTATGTCGAGCCTGTAAGTTTCTATTACATCGCTGTGGATAGGTATAATTTTTTTGTAGAAAGAAAAAAAAGAGATCTACAGTGTAAAATTAAAATAAACTTGTTTCTACGATCTCGTCATGATTGCTAAGGGATTTTTTTTTTAAATAAAAATCTCTCTTCAATTAAGTTTTTAGTAGATTTCCAACATGGATAGATCGACGTGTTGTAAAATATTTAATAATTACACAAGTATCAAATATGTTATTCAAAGGATAGTTTTTCTAGTTAATATTTACAGAGGCTTAGGGATATTTTATAAATAATCGGCTCACCGAAAAGCGCCCAAAATTCGCCATGGCTCTGAATGGGGAAGAGCAACACGTTTCCTACGACCTCGTAACGGCCTTGAAGTTCGATCTTCGGGAATGCTAAATGAATGTCGAGCCTGTAAGTTTTCACATCGACTCGTGACTTCGTCAACGTGTAATTTCCAGCGCCTATAACCGTGATATTGGAAAACAGTGCCCTGACGCGGACAGCACCTTGGCCGTTCTCCATTCCCAGTTCGGGGATGATCAACGGCTCGATCGGGGGCAAGTCCAATTCAGGGATACCTGTGCAAACAGTGTAAATTCTGATCGATAATTTGAGAAGAATTTATCCATTGCCGTTTATTTAAATTTACGAGAAATAAAGATTCTCGGGGACGAAGGATTTTGTTCAATTTATTCAACGAGATTTGGTATATCTGTAAATTTATTAGCATTTTGTTTTCATATTAAATGTCTGGTGCGTAAATTTCGAAGATGAGAGACGAAGCGTTCGAAGATTATTAATTTATTCAAAAATATATCGTATTTTGATGTAAATTTCGAAATAAAACACGAGAAATGAAGCAAGTATCAAAAGTCGCTTCAAATTTATATAAAGTAACTGAAGTAAAACTGATTGCACCTTATGTAAACGTTAAAACCTACTGATTTCGAGAGACTTATTGCACAATATATCTAATTCCATATTGTGTTTATTCTTCCCTCTCTCTTTTTTTTTTTTTTTAGAGAATAGAGTTATTTCAAATTGGTATATAATCTTTCGTTTCAACAATCTAAACTTTGTATTTCTGTCTTTAAATATTATCTTCGTAAGTGTGAATGTACTTCGTTAAATAGTATTTCGTGATAATACAAAAGTAATGATAAAGAATTAATTGTATTTAAATATTGTAAAATGTTCACTCACCCTTCAGCAAATATGGCTGCAGATGATTCAACGTATTCTGAAAGCACACGTCTATCTTGGGATCTGACCTACTGCAGGGTAATATGTACTCAGCTGTGAAAAAGTACAAAATTTTGAAAGAATGGAATCTCAAATTTTCCATGTTACGCTACGTAGAATGGAGCTATAAAATTTTCATGTCGGACGATCGTTATTATATTTTATTTACACATCTTTCTACTTTTTCTACCTTTATGCAATCACTTCCGGTGTATTCAGAAAATTAATCCAATTTCTCGATTTTTATTTTATCGTTGCTTGTCAACTCTTAACGTAACATTAAAATGTTGATAAATAATTGTATGGATATTAAGTATGTTAAAATTATTAAAAAGATTTTATTTTGCTCGTTCAATTAATACTCTATTCTTTCTCAAATATTTGAAGGCGTTGAAAGAAATTTCAACTATTTACTTCATTGTTATATGCATCCATTCACAAGATTGATCAGAGACTTTTTTTCATGAAAATGCAAAACAGCTTCGAACTTGACACACAATTCAATTCATAGAATCTTTGAAATATTCCCAGAATTGATTCTTATCTTGGTAGAGAACACGGAAATTTTTCACATGGAAGATTAATTTTCTACGTATTACCATTGACAACGAATAATAAGACTTGTTATACCAAATCAAAATCAAATATGATATCAGAGATATTTACAAAATGTGCCAAAATTTTAATCTCATCGAATGCCAATAGTATAACACAAAAATAAAATTTATAAAAAAACTACGAAACAAACGAATAAACGAACAGGCGATATTTCGAAGTTACATAGATACATCACAAAAAAAAAAAGAAAGAAATGATAAACGTTTATCCAGAAACGACTTCCTCTATTTGAATTTTTCTCCATTTCGTTACAGAGCAATTTTCCTCGAGCACAAGTCACAATACTAATTCCTTAAAACTTTAATAAAAACCTCTTAGTGACCATACCCTACGATGTTACATCAGCGAAGAAAATTTACGACACATAATTTTCTCTACTTTCTTTTCCCCCACGTTTCGAAGGGATACGAAAAACTTATTTTAATTTTTGGAATTTATTATCTGTCTATTATCCGTCTATTATCTGTCTATTATCTGTCTCTTCTTTTTCTTCACTCATCGTTCAAAATGGATCCACTTGTTTTCCCTTGTTGTATAAATCGTTAAAATATAAAATTACTTTATTTGAAACTCGTAAAATTTTAATACAAGTCATCACTTTTACAGATTTTTCTTCTTTTTTTTCTTTTTTATCGTTTTTGACGCAACACATGTTTTTCTTGCTCGTATCTTGTGGAATGAATGATGGATTGCTATAATAATAATAGACGATAATGCGCAATGGCTTGAAACTTTGAGCTATAAATCATTAACAATCATTATTTATAATTGTTATAACTTATAATTTTCTCTACTATTGTATTTCTATACTTTTTCTTTTTATCGTTCAAGCAATTTGTCGAAACGAACAATCAACTTAATACGAGATTGATGCAAATATGTAATGATATAAAAAAAATATTATGCGAAAAAATTATGATGATAGAGTGAGAATGTCGATACACAGATTCGAGTTGATTAGTCGAGAGAAGAATAAGAACATATATATATATATATATATATATACATATAATAAAATATGCGAAAACCAGTTTACAAGTGATTTGAATGCGTGTAGTGTCGTGAATGCAGCACAGTGTTGTTATTATCTCTGTTGTTAACACTTGGAGAAATCGTTAAATATGCATTTTAGCTTTAAATGGATATTAACACAGGGATTAATTTGTATGGAAATTTTTTGTCATTAAATTCTTTTGTTTGAAGACGAATAAAAAAAAAAAATTTCCAATTCCGATTGAATTAGCGTTTAATCACTATTGATTATTTGCCACTAATTTGCCTGTTAAAGTTACAATATTAATTATTAGATAATATTATTGAAATCAAAAATTGAACGGTAAAAATTTCAGAAACAAACACGAGGATTAAGAATATTTTAATTAGAATTCGACTCGATCTTTTTCATTGCTTTTGATTGATCGATTGATAGATTTGTAATAAGTAATATATTTTCAATTCAGGTTAGGTTCGGTTCAGTTCAGGATCAGCTGTAGATCTAGCAAAGCAAAAGTGAAACTAACTCCAAACTTTCGACGTCTAATCGAATACGAGAGAAAAATGCATACCATGGCTGCCCACGCAACTTTATAACCCCATAATATCTTCGATCAAAAACTAATAACACCTGGCTTTACAATTAGCCGATTGATAATCGAAAAAATTAATTGATTGTCAATTTCATAGATCCATCTTTAGCAGAGTACACCATTAACGCGCATATTATTGATAAAGTTTCTCTAGAGAAATTTTTTACTTAAATCAATAGTTGCAATATGCTTTATTCCATCATTAATATAGCATTAGCTTGTATGCCAATTACTAACTATTTGACAAAATATACAAAACATTTAAGTAACCTTTAACTAACCTTTAGAAAAACCATTCTCTATTCAAATTAATTTCTACACTGAAAACCACTGATAAAACTTTCATGAAGAAACTTTATCTCAAAACTATTGAATTCTCAATATACACCACCCCCACTATCAATCAATAACACTTCAATTATAACATCTGCCCACTTTATTTCCATATTCAAATTAATTCCTCAACTAATTTCAATCAATACTCACACTCAAAACCAATTTTATCTTATTTACAATATAAATCATCTTATTCCATTATCACTATCATAACACATCAGGTCTATAAAATTAATCCCAATTCTAATCATATTCAAACTAATTTTAATCGAAATCTACATAAAAAATCATTAAAGATAAAATTTCTCTAAAAAATTTCAAAATATACCCTCGCTTAATCTACCATTGAATTACAATTCTACGAGCTTAAAATAAAACTTGATCAGGTAAATTTCATCTCTATCGATCGAATCATCGTCATCGTACACATCATCACAGGTGCAAGGTCCATGACCAACGAAAGAATCTGGACCGTTCGATGCATCGTTCCGGTTTACGCGTTTACGCTTTCACTCTCGAGGAATCATGCGAAGACGAGCGTGTCGAGGATACCTGCCGTAAGACCAGCTCTAAGACATCGGCCAGGCCGCTACTTTCTCCGCTCGATTACCGATCCACGGGCCTGCACGTTATGCAATCTCTGACATAACCTTCGCCACGCCATCGAGAGTCGTTACGCCATGCTACCATTACGTTCAACCAACGCTATAACCAACGTTGCCTTCGATTTTCGCATGATAAACGACGAAATTTGAGAATGTTTGCTCTGAATTGTGTCTGGCATAATCTTCGCCATGGTATCCTATGATTTTCAAATTATACAGATCGATAAATAATTCGAGGAATTTCGGATTTTTCTCTCGACGGATTTGTCTTTGATTAAGAACGAAATGATTTGACTTGTAGAAGAAGGATGAGACGATAAATTATTTTTGTGAGGAAGATACCATTAGAAAACGAGAAGTTGAAATTGTGGATAAGAAGAATGGATAAGATTTT